GGCCTGGACACAGCACGACCACTGCACTTCTCAAAGTCACAGAGAACATTTGGGAGGGCATGGAGAATAGAAAGGTCACAGTATTTATATTGATTGATTTTACAAATGCGTTCAACATGGTTGACCATAATATCCCCCTTGCCATGCTTCAAAATCTCAAATTTTCGTCTACTGCTGTAGAACGGTTTTCTTCCTAACTTTGTAGCCGTCAGCAAGCTGTCATTAATGGTCGTGACATATCTGACTGGTGTTAGTTCTCCACTAGCCTGCTACAAGGTGGAATATTATCTTCATTTCTGTTCTCCATTTTTATTAACTTTCTCTCTTCTCAACTTAGCTGCTCTTACCATCTTTACGTTGATGACCTGCAAATATATGTTCAAGCAGACGTCAACTCTCTGCGTGATGCAATTGTCAGACTCAATATGGATTTAACAAATCTCCACAGTTGGTCTCGTAAGTTTCGTATTGGTGTGAACTCCAATAAATGACAAGCTATAATAATTGGCAGTGCTCAACAACTGTGTAAGCTTGACGTCCATTGCGTTAAACCTGTCACGTTTGATAATTCTATCATAACATATTCTGACAGCGTTAAAAATCAGGGTATCTACTTTGACACAACCTTAACTTGGTCGTACACCCGAATTCAGAATATCAGTGGTTCTGGTTTTGCTAAGCTCAGTGCTTTGAACAGTCTCAGGAACTTTCTTCCGGTCAAGGTAAAGATAACTCTGGTGCTATCTCTTATTTTGCCTATTATTGACTATGCTGATGTATGTTTCCCTGATCTCAATGAGGTTTTCCATGATAAGCAGGATCATCACTTCAATAACTGTATCCGTTTTATTTTTCGTCTTCGCAAGTTTGTTCATGTATCGTCATTTCGCACTCAGCTTAAATGGCTTCCAATTCGTCAGCGAAGACACATTAGGATACTTAACACAGTTTTTTCTATTTTATTTGATAACCATTATCCAAATTATCTGACAGCTTCGTTCATCGGAGACTCTTGCTCTCTTTACACCCCTTCACCGTTCTAGTTTCATACCTTCATCGTTTGCTGTCCAAGCCACACGCCTATGGAATGACCTGCCTGAACTTTCGAGATCATTTTCTGAAATTGCTTTACAACTTCTAAGTTCCGTCATCTTTAGTATATTACGTATTTTTATGTATCTTGTATTATATTATATTTTCTTATATAAATTTATATACTTGTGTATATTGATATATGTATATATGTATATATGTATGTGTGTATGTATATTTCATTGTAACCGCCTTCGTAGCTATGTCACTGTCTTAAGGTTGACTGGCAGAGAATGCTTTTAGCATTAAGTCCGCCTTTTGTTCATTTATTTAATGTGTAAGGTTCAATAAAGATTAAATAAATAAATATATTCGACACTAGATGGCGACACTTTGTGTCATTGGAACTAAAAATATAAGGGTACGTAGAGCTCAGTATTAGTAAAATAATCATACGAAGGTGTTGAAATTTATTTTGCATTCAGTCGTAAAGAATTTTAATCGCCAAAATATTTTAATAGTTTTTATAATCATTTTGTGAACAAGCCGCCATCTATCGTTAAGATAGCTAAACTACATTGCAACACCGATATGGAACGATGCGAGTAGTTTTACTATTTGTCGGTAGACGGAAAATAGTAAAGTGGGCGGGGCATCCCTTCACCCCGCAAATTGTCGCGCGTTGTTACATAGTGAAATCTAATTATAACACCTCCTCTTTGTATTTGCTCCGTGGTTAATAGTTATTCTGGGCACGCGAAGTATGTATACACGCGTTAACTATTTAAATCTCTATCTGTGATCATCTCTAATGATGAAATACCTCTCAGCACGTATCTGTAAGATACTGGCTCTCTTACCTTTCAAACCAGAAACACAGCAGATCTATAATAAATAACAAACTGGCGACAGAATTAGCTAAGAGGATCGTACTTAGCCAGATGGTCTCCTAGCCAGAAATAGAGCTCTATCACTTAGGAATTATTATCTCTTTCGACATACACCGTATGTGTGTCGTCCCCACGTGAAACATGGAAGCATGAAGATAATATCTGCGTTCAAAAATTTTCTTCATTATAAATAAGTAATAGTTTTTTTAACAATCTATTTCTGTCGCACTGTGCCTGAGAAAGACAGCTGCAGTTTGGACTAATTATACCAATGCAGAATTGATTTCGAAATCCACAGTTTCCTCCTCCAAAGTGATCGATTGTAATTATTTTAAGAAAAATCTAAGAACGATTTTAATTGTCTTTTTTCCTTTAGTCCAATGACGGTGGTATAAATTGGCAATTTTATTAATTGTAAAATGTTCCTATTTTCTAATTATTTAATTAAATTGAAAATATCATAGGAACATACCAGTGGTAGTTACTTATAATTTTATATATACATTGCATCGTAAAAATATTTGTTCAAGTGTTATTATCCAACGAGAAAACTCTGAGTACGTTTACATTGACTAAAAGCCATCCGGATATCCTCTTAATATTGACATAAAATTTAAAGAACACCATAAAGAAGTACCTCATAAATACTCTTTAATTATTCCAATAACTTTATAAAAAAGTAAAAAATTACACACGTGAGTGTCAAAGACGTAAGGGATATGTCATATAAGATAATTTTTATCAATGATTTAATTTAAAGTGATAGCTATCGTGATTTACAGCATTTTATTAGTGATCTAAGGTATTTACGGCATAGTGATTCGTCATGAGTTCGTCGTGAGTGGCTTTAAATCGGCCAATGTAAGCTGATTAAAGATTATATCTGCTTTTAATAGAGTTTGCGGTTAGATTTAGTTATTACCTTTTCACTTCCTACTTTTTTGCTATTAATTCCTGAGATTAGATGAAGAAATGAGTTTCCAATAAAAAAACTAAGTCCTATATGAAGAACAATTTAATTAAAGTTGGTAATGAGGGCTTAGTGGTCAATCAGAAAATCTTAAATTAAAATTGATATGGTAATTCAAAAACGGTAAATGACATACATAATTATGCATTTTGGGCTCATATTTATCAATAAATTTTCGAATTACGTGCAATGAAAGTGACGAAATAATTATTTTTTGCTAATGATACAGACTCCTTTATTACGGAGTTTATGTTTGAGCTCAAAATCATACTGCTTATTTTTTCTCTGTAGATATCATTATTAATCGCTAATTCCAAAATACTTTCTTGTCGAAATTAAGTTTATATTTTACAAAAATTATTACTGGACTGCTGGTGACATGATTACGATGTATTGCCAGCTAAGCACTCCTCACTCCCCTCGCCGTCGCGTCGTAACGTAAATCTTTCAAGGCACGTACGTAGGTACCTATGTAAAGTTCAATTATGTAACAATTAATTATATTACATATTATAATTTTTTCAAAGAAAATAGTTTGGAAAGTACTGACTCGGAATAAATCCATTTTTTCTTAAAAGTAGTACTTACCTTTACGCATTTTTAAGTGCTTATTTCTGCCACTATTGGCTAGGTAATAATATAAGAAGCATTGGTAACTCAGGGGCTAAGTTCTTGTTGTGAATTTCACCGTAAAATTAATGTCTTAGTACTGATTTACCATTCGTTAGGAAACCTGCATGTCTGAGGTATGAAATATTTCGAGGACATGTTAAGTCCGCCAACACGCACAAAGTAGCGCGATATACGAGTAGGCTACGTTCGGTGACATCTTTGAAAAAAAAAAAACAATTATTTCATGTGTTAGATTTGTCAACGATAGTGTTGATCGACTTTACTATTTCATATTAAAGACCTAAAAATCGACACAGATAAAAAAATACAATAACTCCACCTATTTCATGTTCAGTTGACAAGCATATTAATAAGTGACTATTGAAGTCTGGCAGCCCTACATAAATACAACAAAATAATTGTTTAAGAGAAGAAGTATCCTATAAACTTGTTGATGTTGTATATCGTAGCCTAAATGTTGTTACACAAAGGGTTATATGTATATCTATTACATTAAAAAAAAGAAAAGAAAGAAATAATATTCAAGTATATAATACCTACATATTATATATTTACTGACGACATGAATAACTGAAAAATCATTAGTAACTATTTATTTAGCCGTACTGCAAGTTTAATAATCAAAAAAAAATATTTTGAACCTGGTATAATGACGTTCATAAACTGCGAAATTCATAAATCTTAAGCGACATTATTGTGATAGCGTTTAAACGTCGTTTAAAGCATTGTAGTTCCGAATGTGTGACTATGTCCGAAATAGGTCCACGCTCTTAAAGAAAGCTTCCGCGACGTAAGCTCCGGATGTTAACTGATGAGAACCGGAGGATCAAGACCGTTATTAGCTATTCCGTCTAAAATTCCGTCATACTTACGGTATGGATAAGGTACATAAGATCAAAATTGATATTTTTAATGCACATATATATAATACGGCTGTGGCATGGCTTGATGTGGCGGAAGGACATCGCCATGTTATATCGTTAGTGGACGCCAGGCAAAGCCTCAGCAACTTGAATAGTTAATCACGTTATTGATATAAAAACATGAAATACACTATTTCGTTACAATGTAAATAATGACATTCATGTTCTAATCTTAAAACTGTACGATTTGTCAATATAAAGTATGAAATTATGTTATTTTTAAAACACTTGATTTTTAAGACTTTATTTACAGTTATATTAATTATGTATACAGCATTCTTAACCAGATGTAATTTATACTGACTTTTTTTCTTCTTGTTGCAGATGATTCCAAGACATCATGCTAAAGGGGATACAGATCAAAATAGCTAACTGATGAAGAAAGATTAGACAAAACTTTTGTACAATTGTAATTATTTTCCTTATAGGAAATTGCAAAGAAAAACACGCACATGCGTTATAAGCTGAAGTTAAGAGCTGATATCCCTTTAATGACTTCTGCAATTCGAGCCCGCAGACGCATTTGAAATTTTTGAAAAAAGCGGGACGAAGATGGCGTCGTGCCTCGCAGGCAGCCATTTTGGACCTGGCAGCCAAGATTACATTCCAGTCGCTGAATTTTACGCAGACAAGTCAGTTTTTGTTACTGGCGGCACTGGCTTTATGGGAAAGGTAAGTTTCTCAAAAATATTTTTTTAATTAATATTATAATTATCATATATTAAAAAAATAATAAGAATCCGATTTAAAAAAAAATCAGTTGCATTATATTTAACCATGCCGATAAAGATTTGTTTATAATAGTATCCTACTAACCGAATTTTGGTCCTCAACGGAGACAAGCCGAGACAAGAGACAGAATTATAGTGCAAGAGTGTATGCGCTAACTCAGTTGGACTGCTACTGACAATTTATCTTTATCTTTTTTTTCTTTTTTTTTTTTATAGCATATGGTGACAAACGAGCACACAGTCCACCTGATAGTAAGTGGTTACTGTGACTCATAGACATCTACATCGATCCTCAATAAAGAGTCAAGACGCAGATACGTTGTCACCCGTGAGGACTAAGATGGAATGCCTCTTTGCCAGTAAAAAGGGTCTCCGGTTCTCTACACTCACCATACGAAACACAGCAGCGTTAAGCTGCTATTTTACGCTGGTTTTTTTGTGAGAGCGTGGTACTTCCCTGTTCGAGCCGACCCATTCGTGCTACAACTATACTAATAATATAGCTGCAGCATGGCTCTACCACGTAAGAAAATCCAGAGATATAAAGTTACTGGCTAGAAATATCCAATTACTGGCTTTTAGCCCTACCCGGGATTCGTATGTGGACCACATTGTGAGCAATAGGCCTTACTATCACGGATCTTTCCGTAATTTACGTCTACAATAGGTAGGCTGGCAGAAATGCATAATAACCGCATTACTAATGGACCCAATTGAATTAATGAGTTCGGCTTGTTACTAAAATTAATGCGGGTATTTTACTTAGGCTTTACTTATTTCAGCTTATAATATAGTCTGTTAAACCAAAGTGGAGTTTACTTTGTTTATACTTTTTTTTTTTGTTTTCTATTCGGCTTTTGATTTTTTAAATTATTTCTTTTATTTTACGGATTTTATCGCGTTTAATTAAAGATTTTAATTCCTCCGTGACCGTGGGTGGTGTAAATGTTAAATTAAACGCGATAAAATCCGTAAAATTAGTTTCATTTAAAGTCGTGTAACGTTTTTGTCCCTTTTGTTTACAGCCTTTTTTGGAATTATTTCATGTAATTTTATTCATACTCTAACTAGAATATAATATTATTATGATACACAATAAGGTGTAAAAATAAATATTTAAAATTCTACAATAGAGATATCATCATCATCATCATTACAGCCCTTCACAAGTCCACTGCTGAACATAGGCCTCCCCCTAGGAATGCCACAAAGCACTGTCCCGAGCCACCTGCATCCATTGACTTCCTGCATGTCTTACCAGATCGTCACTCCATCTAGCGCGGGGAGGCCCTACATTTCGCCCGCCGGTACGAGGCTGCCATTCGAGAACCTTTCTTCCTCATCGGTTGTCGGTTCTTTGAGCTATATGGCCGAGCCCATTGCCACTTCAGCATACAAATTCTTTGGGCTATGTCGGTTGCTCTGGTTCTACTGTGGATAATCTCGTTTTTAAGTCTATCACGCAGAGAAACGCCGAGCATAGCCCTCTCCATAGCTCGTTGAGCGACTTGTAGCTTCCTCATCCGGCCAGCAGTGAAGAACCACGTCTCAGTCCCATAGGTCATCACTGGCAACACGCTCTGGTTGAACAATCTAGTTTTAAGTTTTTGAGGTATGTCTAACGAGAAGATGTGTCGTAGTCTCCCGAACACTACGCAGCCGAGTTGAATTCGTCGATTGAACTCTCGGTCGAAGTTGGACTTACCTAGTCGGACTATTTGTCAAACGGTAAATATATTCGTTAACAACTTCGAGCTTAATGCTCCCAACAACTGTCGGCATAGAAGTGACATGGGCGTTAAACATGATTTTTGTTTTGTCCATGTTCATCTTAAGACCTATCCGTTGGGAGACACTATTGAGGTCATTGAGCATAGTGCTTAGGTCCTCCAGCGATTCTGCCATATGGACTATATCGTCGGCAAATCGAAGGTGAGTGATGTACTCGCCATTGATGTTAATACCGTATCCTTTCCAGTCTAGTAGCTTGAAAACGTCTTCCAATGCAGCTGTGAAGAGTTTCGGGGATATTACGTTACCCTGTCTTACACCTTTCTGCTGTTGGATAGGTTTCATACTCTGGTTCTGTACTCGGATAGACATCGTAGCCCTACTGTACAAACACTTCAGCACTTCGATATACCGACAGTCCCCTGGGCACCGCTGGAGGGACTGCAGCACCGCCCAAATTTCGACGGAATCAAAGGCTGTCTCATAGTCCACATACGGAAGACAAAGTGGCAGATTGTACTCTTCGGTATGTATGTGGTCTAGAGATATAACTACATTAAAATAAAAATTCACATCAATTATTTGTTGAAAAATTTTATTAAAGGTTGATTAACATTTGATTTATTTAAATTTCCTTTTATTATACAATCAGTTTCTGAGTTACATACCATAAATTAATGAAGAATTAAAAAATATTCAATAAATTAATTTTCAGTGATGAACATTTTACAATTACCTAAAAGAAACAATTAAAATTTGTAATGCAGATCATTACAAAGTTTAATTGAAGGGCACAGGAAAAGAAGGAGCTCATTAACATTCTCATTGTTTCGAGTAATTAAAGAATTAAACCTAAAATTTCAATTTCTACACTTTGAACTCTACTAGAATATGATTTGTACCCATATAAAAAAGGAACAGTGTATATTTAACATAATATATTGTTATTTTAAAAGATTAGGTTGGTAAATAATCAATAGTTTGTAATTTAATTACTTAACTCCCAAATGTAAAAGGCAAGAAGGTGCTCATTGTCACAATGATCTCCTTTTTATATTTTACAAATTAATTGGTGATCATAAACAATGTCTAATTACATAAACACACTAATGAAATAAAATACATGTTAATTAGCATGAAATTTATTTGTGGGGTAAGTTCGAGTAATATACTCGGGTAAAATTAATTTTAAATATGAAAAAAGAACCGGGGCCCTACAAACAGCAGTAACGGCAGAAAATGTATGAACTACTGAAATGTTGGTGCGAGAAGACCCACGAATCACATATACGGACATCGAAAAGATTGTAGGCATTAGTTCGGGCAGCATTCATACCATCCTACATCAACATCTTGAAGTGAGGAACCTTTGTTGTCGATGGATCCCTCGTTTGCTCTTCGAAAGCGAAAAACACTCCTGTCGATTGGTGCCATGAAATGCGTCTACGTTTTGAAAACGGGGCATCTAGGCGTGTTTCAGAAATCTTTACTGGTGATGAGACATGGATCTATCAATATGATCCGGAAAATAAAAGGCAATTATCTGTATAGGTCTACTCAGAAGGACAGTTACTGACAATACTGCAAAGACCTCGCAACGTCGCAAAAAATTGGTGGCTAGTTTTTTTTCGCGGAGCGGACTTTTGTCTACGTCAATGCTGGAAAGTTGTAGGTCTATATCCTTCTCATATCTATCATCCCTGCTAAACACACATCCCAAATATACAAACTCATCTAATTGCTCTACCAACTCCCCTTCTATTCTTATTTCACATATCGTTTTACTTTCTTCTCTTTCAAAAACCATAACTTTCGTCTTACTTGCGTTCACTTTCATTCCCTTTTCTTTTAATGTCCTGTTCATTAATGTAACCATCATTTGCAACTCGGCTGCCGACGACGCAAGTATGACTTGATCATCGGCGTACAAAAGGCATTTGACGGTTAACTCACCCATTCTTAACCCGCATTCTTCTACTTTCAAATTTTCCAAATAACTGTCCATAAATAGGTTGAACAACCACGGGGAAGCCACACAGCCCTGTCTGACACCTTTATGGATGCCAAACCAGTCCGAGTAGGCCCCGTTGATCCTGACACAAGCACTAGAGTCCCTATATAGAGACTTCAATGCCTGTATCAGACCAGCGGTCAACCCAAATGAGTTCAGTGTTTGCCATAACACATCCCTGTCCACTCTGTCATAAGCCTTCTCCAAGTCTATGAACGCACAAAAAACTTTTTGGTTTTTGGCCAAAAACTTCTCCGCGATCATGCGCATGGAAAAGACCTGATCCGTACATCCCATTCCCTTTCTAAATCCCGCTTGCACATCCCAAATTTTTCCATCAGTTTCTTTCATAACTCTTTCAATTAGTACCTTAGCATACAGTTTTCCCACAATGCTAAGAAGGCTGATACCACGGTAGTTTTTACAGTCCTGCTGTGATCCTTTTCCCTTATATATTGGGACTATCACGGCTTTGCACCAGTCTCCCGGTACCCGCTTAAGTTCCCAACATAAATTAAACAAGGTGTACAGCAGGTCTGCCACCACTCCTTCTCCAGCCCTTAGCATTTCGAGAGATACTTTATCATAACCGGCTGCCTTACCTGCTTTCATACTTTTCATTGCTTTCATTATTTCATCTATACTTATATCTCTATCTATTTCCTCTTCTTTCGGAATTTCTATTTTATTTAATTCAAACGTCTCATCACTCATAAACACGCTTTCAAAGTATTCCTTCCATCTCCTTAAACTCAAAACTTCGTCATTCATAATACAGCCATTCTGGTCTCGTATAGAATTCATTCTAGGCTGTTTTGAATGTCCCCTGGTAGTTCTTACGAGTTTCCAGAACATTTTAATGTTTGCCTGGAAGTTATCCGATATTCTTCTATCATTCTTATCCGTTCTTTCTTGCTTTTTCCTTTCAACTACTTCTTTTACTCTCATATTTAGGTGTCTAAAAACTGCCTCTTTCTTTTCAATATCATCATTCATACTGCTAGAATTACTAGCCTTGGTTGCTAGTAAATCTAGCCATGCTTTCTTCTTTGCTTCAACTTCCATCCGTACCTCATCACCCCACCATAAAGTGTTATTTTTCCTTTCATTCGTTCTCTTACTTACACCACATACTTCGGTAGCTGCATCCACCAAACCTATCTTGGCATTATACCCCACAGTCTCGAAGTCTAAATCAT